GGTTTTCAACAATTATTTAAGTAGAATAGTAATTAAGTAGCTCCATTAGTCGCACATGCGTAGACATGCTCAATTTTTGCTCTAAAGGCAGAATATCACAACATATCACCTAAAAATAAATGAGGAATATAGCACATAGGCAAAGTGTTTAGAAAATGCAACCAGAATAGTAATTCATACTGGAGAAACATTTCAATAAGCAAAGTAAAAAATGCCCCAACATCAAGGACCATCTAGTAAGTAACGAATTCATTATTAAAACGTTAAATTGCATGTAGCTAGGAAGATTTGGGATTCGTACCCCGAATAACAAGCTTATTGACTGCCTTAGTAGGTGATAAAAACACAGGATATTTTCAAAATAACTTTAGATAGCGAAAACTTTAACTATTACTACAGAATAATTTCTAGGGTTTTTGTAATGCTGCAAAAGTATCTAAGCATTTATAAATCTCATAATTTTGACGCTGTAATCAAATGCAGGATAAATCGCAGAAGCGTTATTCTTAACACGACTAAAGTTACTACTATGGCGGCTCTTGTAAGCAACCGTGGGTCTCTTGTGTGGCGGTAAAATTCACTTCTCTTCCTCATGTAATTTTGGTCGTCGCACGGTGGTTTGATATTTGTAAGTTCTAACTTACCTTCCCGGACGGTATAGGTAAAACGTTCTGAAGTTTGTGTATTTCACTCAAAATGCAATTCGAAAAATTTATGTCAAAGGCATGTTCTTCTTTGATGTAATACCTGATAGTTGGATAAAGAGATGGATTCTCTTGAGGAGAAAATGCTTTCCACCAAACCGTGGTATTTGCACGGAGAGGTTTCCGGCAAGGATCGATCAGAAAATGCCCTATTAGAAGAACACTTTGAAGTTCAGCGACATGCTGTTTACAGTATAGCTCATTTTGCTACCATGTAACAATGCATTTAGAACCTGGGCCTTTCGATGAGAACATTATTGCTGAATTTTTAAGGAAGGGTATCCGTGAACAGGTTCGAGAGCTACTTTTAATAGGCTCTTTTAGTCCTTCGACAGTCCAACTCTCAAAGTTAAGTCGAAGGACCGTGTTACAGTTCCACAAAACTTCATTAACACTGAGAAAACATCGCTGGTGCAAGAATATGAAAATCTTTACATCAAGGCTAAGGTTTGCTTTTTGTTGCATGTAATGCTGGTGTTTAGGCATTGGAAAAACCTCAGGAAGACCCGGAAAGAGATGCCCTTCGGCTTGAAATTGTGGATTTGTTTGACAATTTGGATGCGTTGTCAAGCATGCACTTTGTTCCACGCAAGGTGAGTATCCTGTTCTTAGATCGCCTTTCTTATCATCCGCCCCTTTTGGTTGCTTTCAGTTTTTGCACCAAAAAAGTGCAAA